GTGTGAGCAAAAACACCATCAACATCCCAGTTAAAGGTTTGGTAACAAACCCTTAGAAAAAGCATTTTTTGTCCACCTTATTATAGTGCAAAATGTAAGCAGAATTTCTGAAGCTGATGATCTAAAGTCATTTGCTTTCCTCAAATAAAGATTGTCAACTATAGGATGTTTCATTTTGTGTAGATCTTGAATGTAAAATTGCATATTGATCCCAGAAGTTAAACCCAGATGATGAGCTCTGCAGCCACACCTGAGACACACTGCTCATCCGGGCTGTGCGGCTGGTCCAACCTGTTAATACCGGAGCTGGAGTGAAACACAAAACACTTGTGCAGCTAAGGTGTGCAGTGTGCTAAAGTAGCATGATGAAAATATGACATTTCTTCTTGAATTGTTTGGTTGCAATGAATTAGTGTTACAGCTCTGCTTTGTGGATTTGTTTATCAGTAGAAATGATTACTTTTTCCTTTATCACATCTCTCCAATAAATCTGCCACGGCCTGAACTCAACACACTGCAGCCAGTGAATAGAACCATTGAGCTTTGTTTGGAGTGGGTGTCTAACTCAAAGTAAATATGAATACAGTACATTCTGTCAGGGCCACAGTGAGCTCCCTATTCAAGTGGCTCCATGTCTACCACAATTTCCCCAACAGCCAATCACCACTGCGCTGGAATCCAAGGAAACCATAGCAACCACAAGGCCTTGGATGCTATTGGCAGGGTCAATGGAATGAAGAGAAAAGAGACGGAAGTCAAGTTTAAAGAAAAAAAGCCAAGTGAATCTGTAAAACTGCCAAAACTGCCGCTGAGGAGTGGAGATTTGACACTGAGTCAGTTGATGAACTTATTATGAGCTCCAATAGACTCGACTTTAATGTCTCACTGGAATAACACAGGTCTCCATGTAGGACTTAAATGACATTAATTTGTTTGTCTCCCTCACTTCTTTATTATGTCTAGTTTTTTAATCATAAGTCAATTGTCCTGCTCACTCAGAACAGACTGGTGCCTGATCAATGAATGATGTTTGTGATGTTTTTAGATTAACTGGGTTTTCTTCGATCATATTCACAATGAAGGTTTTCGCTCTTAGTTGATACAGCCTTTGACAAGCTAATATGAGGCAGCAGTGGAAAGGGACTTAATTGTGTAATATCAAACCATGTTTTTTTGTCACACTATCCAAATCAAGAGCACTCCATGCAGCAGCCTCAGAACTACATCTCATTCATAATCATGAACAACTAAATTATGAAAATCATTGCTGACATTATCACGGGTTTCATCAGAAATGTTTCAGTGTGCTTTTTATCACATTTGGTTGACAGCAGTGTATCCAAAGCAACATAAACAATTACCTGAACTCTGTGGTGATATATACAGTATAGTCAAGATTTAAAGTTGGTCATTATTATTATACCTGGAACAAAAATGCAGGTCAGCACCTTTTTGTTACAAAGCTCCTCCAAATTAATGCCGTGAAAAGTTGTGATAGAACAGCTCTGTCACTTTTTTCATTGAAGAATACTATTTGTTCTGTGAGTGTTTTATATAAGAGGTCCTTTTCTGTGTGTTGATTCATTCATTCATCTTTATTTCCTAATGCCCTCCAAAATCTCGTAGTTGAATGAAAAAACAGCAATGTCAGGGACATTAGTTTCTAAAAATCATGGAGCATTTAACCCCTGTCGTGATATGAAATGATTTCAAGGATTCATAATTCACAGATTAGTAGGTATGTGTTAAAAAGGAAAGTTGATAACTGAATGGTTATTTTATATACATCGAAGCGTAGAGATAGTGTTGAAATTACCTTGATTATTCTCTATCTTTGAAGGATAATGAGTGCTGCATAGGAATACCTGACTTAAAGACATGATTTCCTTTGTGTGATGACCTCAAGTCAAGCTGAATCACTCCCTTTCAAAGGCCTTTTAGTTCTTGTGTGAATCCTTCGTACAGGAATATTATAACTACTGTAATTGAAATAGGACATTCAATTAAGTCTACACTGCTTATCCACCGCAGTATCTGGGGTAGGCAGATATTAAAGCACTCATGTTTTTCCTTGTATCTTTTTCCCCCCAATCTGTCCTTTGCTGTTGTTTTTGTTTACCTCTCAGCGTGTGTTCATTCATGTGCTCTACCTCAACCTCCTCAGCAATGAGTGGGAGAGGTTAAAATAACAAAACAGCGACTGTCAGTGCTCTGGAGGACACTCTCTTTTAAAGACACACAGAGGTACAAATACACACACTGCACACATGATAGAATAGACCGACAGCAGGACTGGCTGACAGAGAAAGAGACCTGCAGGAACAACCTCCAGCTGCCACCCTTTATCTGGAGCTGCACTGCTCCAAAGAGAGCACACTGGCCTACATTACAGTGACACAAACTGTACAGTAGTATGAGAGGCCTGAGAGTTTGCTCTCATGCTGCATAATGGCATAGTCATATTTTGCGATTCCTCTCCAGCACAAAGTATTGACGTTTTTTTTTCTTCTATCTAAATCTATATCCTAGCTCGGGTATGGATATGTATGCGAGGCAGCTGAGAGCAGAGGATAGTGGGTGGAAACACATGCCCTTACTTTTCAAAGTGAATAAGGTCAGCCCCATGCTTGTCTTTAAAAAAAGATTAGCAGCAGCCATAATTTGTTCATTCTCTCCACAGGATAAAACTCTGACCGCTTTTTTCCTGTTAGGTCACTCACCTGGTGCGCACAGCCACATCCTGGAGTTTAGAAAGTGATGCATCTAAGCTGTGGTGCACAAACGATAAAATTTGTGCATCTCCACCCATTTTTTTGCCAAAGTAGTACAAAGAACTTTTGCAGCATAATGAGATGGTTCCTTTCTAACTTAATGTGCCAACATTTTATTCTCTGTTAATTATTTTGAGAAACAATTTGGGAAATTGCAACAATGGTAAAAAGAAAAAAAAAAGAAAAACTATCGACTGTAAATTCAAACTAGTCGGCACCAGCAATTATTTTTCCAAGACTGTTTGTAGATGTTGTGTTTGTTTCTGTTATGTTGATGTAGATTTGCATGCAAGACTAACACTTGTTTTTTCCTCTCTCCTTTATCTCTTGTATTTGTTGTCCTTATTTGCCTTGACCCAAATCCAAGCTTCAATTGAAATTAGAAAGTGCATTCTACAAAAATTATCCTAAGGCTTAGTCTAACGCCTATTGCTATCTTTAGGATTGTATTCTTATGTTATTTACAACTGATGTGAAACACGCCAAGGTTTCACACCTCTAAAGACTAAAATGACATACTTCATATTCTTGTATGACGGAAAGCGGGGAGAAGGAGTCCTCTTATCTCTCATGAAAAAAAGCATTAATGATTTAAGGGTACAGTCGATCCTTAGACGGTCAAAAAGGTAAATACCTCCAGAGAGCAAAAGCTTAAGCTTAGACACACTATTAGGTTATGGTAAAGGACTGCATTCAGGTACAAGCTGACTAATCAAGCGTTCAGAGAGGGATGAGAGTTGAGTCAAAGTCATTTCTCACCTCAAAGAGGACCGTGGATCATTTCTTTAAATCCTTTTGTAGGCACAAAAAACGGCATCAGTCAGCGGTGAAACTGTGTGAGAATTGCTGTGGTCCGCCACCTAACCAACACCTCTTACTGCTGGGCACTTCATTAACAGATACGGATCTTGAGGCTTCAAGGACTTGTTCACAACAAACCCTTAACCTCAAAGAACGCCCTCCATAGTGCCTTATCCTGGCCTCTTTCCTGTAGTCTCCCTGCAGATCATATCTTGTAGGAGTGAGACCAACTATATAGTCAGTATAGCCATTCGTTTCACCTTTTCTATCTCCTGCCAATATGGATCGCATGAGCCTCTGACACACTGCTTACTTCAAAAACATGCATTAGTCTTTGCCTGAAGCTTTATCTGTATACAACCCATTGGCTAGAAATCAATAGGATGGGGAAAAAAAACAGGTGGGCATGAGTGAGCATGCTCCGACAGACTATGCAAATTTGTAACAGTTGCTGTGCCAAATAGATAACAGGAGGAAAAGGAGAAGGACTGTGAAAAAGAGGCTCTCTTTAAAACACAACATTTTCCTAAATTAAAGGGAGTTTCAGACAGTGACTTTGAGTCAATTAGTGAGCGATAAAAGGAAGACGATAGAGAAAGGGAGACAGCAGCAGTTATGACAAGACATCTTCACAGCTCATTTGCAATAAGGCAACATACAGACAAATTCAAGCATATGACTGAGTCAGCTGCTGCAGATAAGACGGCAGCCACCCCAGAGAGAAGATTCATATTAACCCTGCTGATGTTGTCGGGGAAGAACTATTGTCTGGGCTCTTGTTTTCAGCAGTTAACACAATGGCCATTTCGCTCCAGTCCTCAGCCTCTTCACCCTCGACACTGGTGCAGGAAACCTGAATTGGCTGAATGGTATTATGCAAATGCTGGACCAGCCTCCCTCTTTTTGCTGTTAACACTGAAGAGGAGGTGGAGGAGAAGAAGAGAGAAAAAAGGAAGTCCTTGTTAGTGCTCCTGTATGTGGCTGGTTAGGAAGCACTTTTAAGGATTTACAAACAGCCACCAGCCTTGTATGAAGCCTTAATGTGGCCAGAGTCACACTGAGCTGGGGAAATAATGAGAGTCTGCTACTTTTTCAACCCACACATACTGTAACAACCAAGAGCACTCTGTATTGTCAAAGCAAGAGCCATCATGTCCTGGGGGGTTGGATATTTAAAAGTGCATTGCACTTGCACTGTGAAGAAAATGAAGAAACACTTGACATAGTCAGAGGAGTTCCATCTGTTTTGCTTTGCTCTCCACCTGCACTCACACTGCCAGGTGTGCTGGCAGAAAACATTAGCACCTCTCCATCCATTCATTCAAAGCTGAGGAAACCTCCAAAATGAAAACATCCAAGGCAGTGCCTTCACGCCTGCAATACCTGATATGGTTTAATTTGTTTATATATTTGAAGTACATCCCATTTAAAAATATATATATCTATATTAGAGCCTATTTAAACTGACTCCTACTCAACCTGTATTCTAGACTGTTACATAAAGGCTGTCCCTATTTTGTTGTACTGCACCAGAGGATCTCCTAATGTGATGCAGTCATCTGATTGTGAATGCCACAGGAAAAATATGCACAGAGTAACATTATGCCCGACAGCAACTCGCAGCACATTATTAACCGCCTCTTGATGGAACAGGAAGTCAAGCCGGGAGGTTTTAAATGAAGCCTTGGTGTTCTTGTCAACTCACCATGCTCCATAATTAGCACAGGGGTCATACTGTAATTTCCCCTTTATCCCCAAATAGCCTTGGCTGAAGCACTTTCGCAGTAGAGCATCAAACTTTAAAGGGATCAGGAACCTGCAGGGTTTGATCAAATTTGTTGGAATTAGTTCTTAATGAGAAGGGATGGTTAATGGTCGTATTGAGGGCAATATCATAAGGTCAGAGGTAAAGGGTTTCAGTCGCTGCAGGGATTAGGCACACTTATTTATGAGCTGACCTTTCGACAGAGTAACATCAAGATAATACAAATAGCTCAGAGATGCATTGACACATGCATTGACACATGCATTGACACATGGAAATCAGTTTACTTTCTTATTGTCAAGTGGTAGATTGCTCTCTGGAAATACCTGCTTTAATGACTAAGCTTTTTTTTTTTTTTTGGTATAATCTTAATCATGATAACCCGACCAAAATAGTTTGTTCTTCATTATTCATCAACGATGAGCAACTAGCTGGGGTGGAAACTAGACCCTGCAGATGAGCATGTAAGGAAAAAGAAACCCACAAACTGTAGAACTGTGGGATACATGTATTTTCCCCTTCACAGTCACTGAGAAATCAATGTTAAGAACTAAGCTGAGGCATCAAAGACCAACAGCCTATCTGACCTGCATAGAGCCCCACTGTGGGGTATAATGCAGCATTGTACACCAGTTACTTAAAGACCCATTCATGCAGACACTAAGTAAATGCATAGGACCGTAAGATGGGAGGGGTTTGGGAAGGATACGATTTACAATGCTGCCTCCAGATTTTGGGATAAAACGACTTACACACAAATGAAAATATATTCAGAGAGAAGAAAAAAAAACATCAGATGAAAGTGTTTCTGATTAGAGAAATACAAACCAAAGGTTTTTATTTTTCATAGCCTCCTTAGTCTCTCCATAAAAATAGTGTTGCTCAAAATAACTGTTAAAAGAAAAACAAAGTCATGTTTTAATGTAGTCCATGGAAAAGCCCCAGTATCAGACATTCATTTTGTTTCACTTCAATCTTCATATTTTTTTTTTTCCTCCAGGAGCCAAATGGTCGAAGCAAAGACCTGTATCACTGCACCACGTCTGTTCCTTTGAAAAATTAGCATCAGAATGAGCCCTTGCAGAGACAAGTCAGGCAACTGCTGTAATGCATTTATAAATTAGCCCTAAACACTACACAAGCCATTAAAAAGCATGTACAACCTAAGGGGAAAAATAATGCAAAAAAAAATAAAAAATGCAACTAATAACAGAACAAAGTACTTGCAACAACTGTTATTAGCTTGCACTTTACCTTTGCCAGCTAAACCAGTGGAGAATCATGTGCACACTAACTAAACATGTTTAGATACGCTACAACTAAAAAGCACTGGCACTGTCAAATAAACGCAGCTTAGCTCTGGCAAACAGAGGGTTAAACCTTAGCTGCAGAAATTCACTGCAGTCCAAAAGCGTTTGGCAGATAGCTACTGAACAGCACATTCTATCTGTGCCATTACGCCGCTATCCTTGGACAAATGTTTCTACCTATCTAGATTTTGCTTGTGTGTCTTTTTGTGTTCCCTAGTCTGGAAATACCATTTTATTGCATATAATATTTGGCACGGTAAAAACTGGAGCTTACATTTGGGGCTGTATTTAGAAACTGTTTCCTGTATAAAGAGTTTTTTTTTACTGCATCCTGAATATTCTCAAAAAAAAAAAAAAAAAAAAAAAAAAAAAGTAAACACCTCTTTCCCAAGAGTAGATCGTACCTTCTTCTGTTATCAGTCACAAAAGCAGTTCATTATCTTTACCTTTTTTTTTTTTTTTAAATAGAAGTCACCAGTTATTAGAAAATAGTTTCAATTTACTTTCTAATATAATCTGCATGTCTCACCACTGCCTGCCGGTAGTTTCATTTATATATATTTGTATTTTTTCATATTTATATACTTATGTATAGGCATGTACAAGAAACGAAAAACTGTCTGTTTTGCACATCTGTACAAAAGAAAGTTACCGTTTTGTTCTTTGTGCATTCTATTGCATGGAGTGGTGAGCAGATGAGTGGAGAGGAGAGGTCGGGACAGAGTCAGAGATAGATCCATTGAAGAGGCATAGCTCAAATTTGGGTCTCTTGAACCTTCTCTTTGCCATGAGTAGTCTTAATGGCATAAGGATCAGTAATGGTGCTGATGTGGCTGTGATGCTGTCTGACTGAGCGATGAAGAGAGTTGTTCTGGGTCCAGTGGGCTCCATAGCTCCCTTGGCGGGCTGAGGAGGACACGTACCCAGGCTTAAAGGTGTTACTGTTGTGTTCCACTAATGTTGGCAGTACCAACCCTGTGTCCTCAGAGCCACTAGATCCAGAGGTGGGTGGTGGAACAGGAGGAACTTCTTCCTCCATTTGAATGATTTCTATGGTCCTGGCTGCTGCCACCGTGCTCCTTTGTTGATGCCGCTTCCGCAACTTATAGAAAGCAATTAACATGGCAGCTGCTAGCAAGGTAACAGCAACAAAACAACCAATGATGATTTTAGTGGTTTTCATCACCTCATCCAGGCTGGCGGCTGGCCCGCTAGGGATTCTGGCAGTGGGGATTGACACTTGCCTTGGAGTCTGAGTGCTCTGAAAGAGCACAGTAGGTGTGGAGATGAACACAGGCTTAAAGACAGAGGGAGAAGTAGGCTTGGGTTTGGGGGTCTCTTCAACTGTGGGCTCCAAAACTTCCACTGTTACAGTGGTAAAATACGACAGATTGGATGTGTTAAGTTCTGCATTGCTGACATTTAGGTAGGCTGAGGCATTGGAATTTCCTGCCATGTTGCTCACCATGCAAGTATAAACACCTGTGTCAGAAGGGAGAACATTGGAGAAGTTGAGAGTCCCATCGTTGAGAACAGATATCCGTGGATGAGCTGAGCCATGGGTCAATACGGTACCATTGGGGAGAAGCCATCGGACTGAACTCATGGCAGCAGTACGACACTTCAGTTCTGCAACCCTTGCCGCTGAGATGTTGAGATCTCTTGGAGCATCAAGTATAAACGGTGCTGAGCACTGAAAGGTGGTCTGATCGACCTCCACCAGGTATCGACCTCTCATGTGGATTGGAGTGTGGCAGCGTCCACAACAGCTGGAATTTGTGGGAATGTATTCTCTGAGCCACCAGGAGAGCCACACTACATCACAGTCACATCGCCAAGGGTTGTGGTGCAGGTGTAACTCCACCAGGTATTGTAGAGGAGTGAAGAGGTTATGTGGAAGGGACGACAGGTTATTATGGGCTAAATTCAGCTCCACCAAAGCTGTGATGTCATCAAATGCATTCCTTTCAATGGTCGTGATTACAGAGTTCATAATCCACAGTTTGCGTAAATTCTTAAGCCCACGAAAGGCCACAGGTTTCAGTTCAGGGAAAACATTCTCTGATATTTCCAGTTCTTCCAATCCCACCAGTGGTGACAGATTAGGAAACTCCCGGAGGTTACACATCCCCAAGTTAAGGTACTTGAGGTTTTGAAGGCCCTCAAACGCCCCATCAGAGATATATTCCAACTTCCTCAGCTCTCCAAGGTCCAGTCTCATGAGAGAGGGAACACGGTTGAAGGCATAGGAGGGAATGCTCTCAATGGGATTGTTTCTAAGCCATAATTCTCTCAACTTTGACAGGTACTCAAAAGCTCCACTGGGTATGACTGTCAGTCTGTTGTCAAACAGCTCCAGGGTATTGAGACTGGTTAAGCCATTAAAAGCCCCCACCTCAATCTGTCTGATGGCATTTCTGCCAAGCTGCAGTACCTCCAAGTGATGCAGATGCCTGAACGTGTCTGCCTGTATGGTTTCTATGCTGTTTTCCATCAGGTTCAGGTACCTGGTGTTGGCTGGGATGTTTGGAGGGACCCTAATCAGGCCTCGGCGTGTACACACCACCTTGCTGAGCTGGTTAGTGCAGGAGCACACACCTGGACAGTTCTGTGGGTTAGCCGAGCCCAGTGCAGGGCCCGTAGACTGGCACATACTGAGAGTAGGTACCATGAGAGAGATCATGGCAAGCAGAGCTGCGTTCCAGGTAGGCTGCACACTAACCTGGCCCAAAGGACTCATGGTGTGAGGGGCTCATTATTCTGCATGGTGGGGGGAGACGGCACACACCAGAGGACAGACCACCTTAGCCTGGCTGGAGCAACTTAAGGCTCCTAAGTTCCATCGACAGTGCAGGGAGATGCTACATCAAAATAGATGTGAGATAGAGAGAAGGGGGGGGGAAAGAGGAACAGAGGAGGAGACAGAGTGAAAGAGATTAATACAAGAATAGTAGCAGTGGAAAAGCAGAGCAGCAGTGTGGAGAAAAAAAAGGATTACTGACAGTATCAATGACGTACCTCATTAGTTTGGAAGTGGTTCTTTTTGCCTCTTTCCAAATGTTAAAAGCAACAGCCCTGAATCATGTTCATTTATTATTCCATTCCATAGAGAGACAAGAGACTGGTGTTTTCTTATTTTCCCTTTCTGAAAAAGTGAGGTGGCCCCTCTTTTTGCCCTGGGTACAAAATGGCTCCTACTATTCAAGACTGAAAAAAGCATGAAAAGCACTCACAGGCAGAGGTAAGGCCATGAAGGCTTGGCAGGTGCCCGGATCCCTTCTGCCCCCACTAACTGCCCCCCTGCAAGGCTACAGTCTCCAAAATGCAGCTCCACTGTGGATAAATCACAATGATCCATAGCGCAGTGAAAAGCAATAGAGGAGGAGGCAAGAAGTAGGCAAATGAAAAAAATAAAAATTCCCAGTTCTGATGGCTCCTGGTACATGTGTTTGCTTGTCCAGTGGTCGCCTGTTTGGTAGAGAGACCTCCCTCACTGTGACTTTGCCAAGGGCTAGTCGGTTGCTGATTAGCCCCGTTGTGACAGAGACTGAGAGACAGAAAAAGGCTAAAGAACTCCGGGCACAGTCATCCCCCTCTCCACTCCTCCTCTGTGCTCCTCTTGCTTCCTCTCAACGTTTCGCTGGCCCTGGTCAGAGCAGCTGCAGGCTGCCGTGTGCACAGTTAGCAGTAATCCGTCTATTCCTCCTGGGGGGAGGGGGGTTGGGGGTGGTGGGAGAGATGGTGGCGCTGGGTGGGGGGTGAAGAGGGGGATGCGCTGCACTGTTGGAGCTTCGCAAAAGGGTGTCGGAAGAGAGAGGGAGCACTCTTGTCCTCTTCTGCAATGAGAGAAAAGACAGGATGGCGCTTGAAAGATGTGAGTGGAAGTGGGTTCCGTAGCTGTATCCCAAAAACAGAGGAAGGTATTGAGGAATCTTCTCTCCACTTGCTGTTTGTCCCCAAGCTGTCTCCTGCAGTGTTCTTCTGCTTGCTTATTTGTTAGTTTTTTCTCCCGGGCTGAGGTAGTAAGTTGTGGCAGTTAGCCATGTGTGTGGCTGTCAGACTTGCGGCTGGCTGGTGGACTACTGCAGTAGCCGGAGTAGAACTGATAGAGAGAGAGAGAGAGGGAGAGGGAGAGAGAGAGAGACAGAGAGAGAGAGAGAGAAAGAGAGAGGGAGGGAGAGAGAGAGGGAAAGAAGACAGAAAGAGAGGGATTTCGAGAGAAAGAGGGAGAGAGAGAGAGAGAACCACTGACAGATCAAGAGCAGGAGGAAGATAGAGTGCGCAAAGGAGAGAGAGTGTGAGAGAGATGGAGAGGAGGAGGCACGCGAGCACTCAAACAGGCAGCCCACCGTCACAGAAGCAGCAGGAGCAGCATTCTAATCCACATCTCCTCCTCTTGTTTATTCTCCAATCTCTCTTTTTTCTCCCCCCCACCCTCCCACCCCCCCTCTGTGTCGGTGTTGCAGGCAGCTAAGATGCTCGCTCTGCCCCCTCCCTTTGTCCTTCAGTGGAAACGTGAATGTACTGCTGACGCACTCCTCTCGGCTGCTCAGCCAGCCTCAGAGCAGTGCATTGGTTTGATGCAGTGTTCCTGTGTATTAACACATTCAACCTCCCCTCCTCCCGTATCCCTCCTGTTCCCTCCCCTCATTGTAACTATCTTCTTCTTTCTCTTTCGCTCCCTCTCTTGTCTTCGTTTCTCACGTGTTGCCTTATTTCTTCGGGCTGACTCTCTAAATCACTTACCTGTGCCGATCTGCTCGGCTCTCTTGCTTGTACCTACACCACGTTCCCCTAATCTATCCTTAGAATTGAAAGCATCCCATTCCAGTCAATCACAAAGAGACAAGCAGACTTCCTACTCCAACTTGAGAGTGGTTGTGATTTTTCTCTGTCTCGTGAGGACGGCAAGTGAAACAGAGCTTTCCACTGGGGATGCAGCTTGTCTCTACTCCTTAACTCTCATACACCACGTTTTGGTGAGTCTTTTCGTCACGCATTTACGACAAGTGGAAAAACTGTTTTTTTCAAATGACTATTTTCTTATTTCGTAAGTGTCAAACGATTTATTGTGCATGTGTGAGTGTTTTGGAGGTGGGGGGGCTGGGTCCGGGGGTCCGTGACATCATAGAGGGCTGAAATGCTGACTCTGCTTCTCTGTGTCTGCTGGGCAGTTTTCTCTTGAGGGAGGAGAAAGATGAAAGAGCTTGCACACAGTTATCTCTTCAAAAGATGATAGAGAAAGACAGAAAGATAGAGAAAAAGAGACTCACTGAAAGAGTGGTGGAGAGAGATGAGGACGGGCAGGAGGAGATATATCCACGTCCTTGGTGAAATAGGGGAAAGGAGCCTATGGAAGGGAGAGAGAAATTAGATAAATAGGTATCGAGGAGAAGGAAGAGGGAGACGGATGAGGGAACATACTGCATAGCCCTCTCAGAAAAATAGCACATGGAGGAAGAGAGAAAGAGGGATGAGGAGTCAGGGTGGGGGGTAGGTGGGATGAGAGGAGAGTTGATAGTGTTGGATTAAGCATCATTTGAATGCAGGAGAAGGAGTCTCTCTCTCTGCCTTTGGTTAATGACCACATTCTCTCCCTCTCCTCCTTCCCCTGTCACATATATATTTGCTATAGGGTTTGCTATTGGGATGGTGGTCTACAGAAAGATGAAAGGAATAGTCAATGCAGACAAATATAAATGTGCCATTGTCAAGTGTAATCTCAAGTCAAATGTATAAAATAAATAGGACATGACTGGAATTTTGCATTCCCCTACGGGATCATAAAGATGAAGGGGAACCGAAGCTCATTGAAATGCATTCAAGACACATTCAACAGACGCACACAATGAAGAATCATGTTGGCATGTTGATTATCATCGTTTTATGATATGGCTGAAATACAATTCTCAAAATTATGATGAGCTTTATCGCACTGATACTGAAGTTAATAGTCTTGTGATGCTTCCATGAGCATAAATAGGAATCAATGGTCAAAAAAAAAAAAAAAAAAAAACTCAATATGTAATTTATCTTTAAGTTAAGCTACATTAACATGAAATTAACACTTTTGCGTATCATTTTAAGCTTCAGTGGACAAAAATCACTGAGAAAATGTATCCTTGCCTGATATCTCATTGTGCTGTGCAAAGTTTTAAGTTATATATATAAATAAATGATGATTGTGAGATCTCATTTATTTATTGTTTATACCTCCTGTCCAATACCATCAAGTCTTTGCTTTTATGTGTTCACTTACAAGAAGGTTTAGAGTTCTTTAAACCTGAAATAGAGAGTATGAGGACTATTCAAAAACAATTTGATGTTTAGAAAACAAAGTAATTACAAATAGCCATGACTCACGCTTTTGTGAAAAGAACCATTAGAAAAATGTCCTTAAGATAATCTTTGCACTCAAGATAATCTGCTTTTGAAAACAAAAGGAGTTGTGTTTTTTTTTCCTAACTCTCCTTTATTACTTTGTAGTACTTATATCAAAATCCCATTCAGTTTACAACAAAAGAAATGAATTAAAGTTCTTTGTCGTACTTTACTTTGTATTTCACAAAAGTATTGAAGCAAAACAGAAACAAAGATCTGATATCGGGGTATTTGAAAGTAGAGAGAGCTTTGGGGTTTGCTATGTGCCAAAATGTTGTCATCTTTATCTAATTATGAGACCAAAATGTCTTTCACAAGGCTGACCTGCTCAAAAGATCAGCGGCAGGTGTCATATTAAATATCACATGATCAGGAGACAACAAGTTAAAAAACAACAACCCAAGAGGTGCAGACTAACCACTCAAATACACATGGCACAATCGCCAGACAGCTGTTCATGAGTGACAGTTACATATCAATCCAGTGACCTGCCACATATCAACATGTCACAGCTTCCTCATCCAGGAAAAGAGTGTGATAAACATCCACCTGAAATCCCTTAAACGCAGCCCCCTCATTTGAACCCAAAAATAAAGAAGCAAACTGAAAGTATAAATTGTATAGAGTGACGTTTTGTTCCGCCTGTGCTCTCTATTCATGTTGTCTCTCTTCTTTATGCAGGTTTCAGAGCTGCTGTCAGAGGACTGGACAGAAGGTGGTAAGAGTAGGATTGGATTTGAAAGCTGACAGTAGACCTGAAGAGTAAAATAAACGGTTAAACTGTATTTTTGATTTTCTTTTAAATTGTTTAAGCACTAAAATTCCACTTCATTTATCTTGTATTAATTTCCTTTTTAATTTAATATCAAAATTTTGATTGCAGAAAGGGGAAAAATTGTTAAACTTTTTTTTTTTTAATTATGTGAAGCCCAACAGACACAACCTAATAGTCTCATGTTGTCTGCCATTAAAATAAGTGCCAAAGGCTTCAAATGAAATGAGTTCTGACACTTTAAAACGGTTGTGGAGTGTATTCTACACAGAGGGGGCAGAAAAACTGTCTTTCTCCAGCTCAGTGTGGACACAAGGAACAAATGAATAGAAGACATCACAAAAACACATGGCAGAGTAGCTTTCAGTTCTTCGGAGATACACACACAAATAAGTTTTCTAAATCAGATCCGGTCAACATTGATACTTGTGTGTATGTATGGCCGGTCAGATTTAGCATACTGGTCACAATGATAAGCGAGGAGGGTACAACTAGTGAGGAACCTCAAAGTGCAATGATAAAGACTTGAAACATTTGAAGCCCCCGCATACAGCACATCAACATAATCAAGAAAAAGGCTGAAAGGCTGCGGATACATATGGTTTCCTGGTTCTGAGAGAGAAGCAACATCTGTTTCCGATGCAGGAGCCTAGTTTCACCCTGAGTTAGGAGACTTAATTGACTTTAAAAAGAAAACCCTGTACTGTAGTTTGTTAACTGTACTGTAGGTGTCGCTAATTAATTTTTAACCCCTTGATGTCAGTAATGCTACAGCCAATTAGGACATCCCGAAGGAGAGTAATGGGATTTTGCTGATTCCGTCACTGACTCATGATAATGCTGCCTGTTTTGGACATGTGTCATTCAACCAGATCAGTGTTCAGCAAGTCAACCAGTTATGTCAACATTACTTCACATGTCTGTTTTATGAATTTGAACAAATACTAATTATTTAAGTTCCAAATGACATTGGATTCCCAATGCTATCAAAAGAAAATCAAGCTATTTTTGTTAAAACTATGTTTTAGGTTTCTATGCACGTCATCTTCTGGTGGCTACAATTTAAAAATAAACATCTAGCAGGAAAAATGATGACAGGGTTCAATACCAAAGCATTAGTTAAGGTGGTGCAGACAGTGTAGGTCATATAATCAATTGTCATGGTTGTAGGTGCAGTGCCAGTGCTATCACAATGGACATAAACATGAGAAAGAGGGGTTAGCACACTAAACACCCAGAGTTTCCTCCTGATGTTCCTACGGTTGTCTTCCTCTATCTATTCATGTTGCTTTTCTTTTCACATGACTCTACAGGGTATCAAACTAAGATTTATAAGTGTCAGGCTCTGTAGTCTAGTTGTCTTTTCATAAATGTGGTGATTTGCTCCAAGGATTTATCACCATCTTAAAAACCTTTACTACTGTGTGGTGAATCCCAGAGCTCAACAGTGCGACATATATGCCACATACGCTACAAGAAAATTGGTTGGTGCTGCAAATAGTTTCACCACAGTGCACTAGAGTGATGTGAGTCTTTTTTATCTTTGTTTGTGTGAGTGAGCAAGTGAGTGAGTGAGTGAGTGAGAGAGAGAGAGTGTGTGTGTGTGTTGCGTGTGTGACGTCAATCAATGTCCTATCGCTAATGTGAATGCAGAACAGTATATTGTAATCCATCAGATGTGCAGACTAGCAGCTACTTAGAAAAACTCTGTAGTGTTCTGTGTATTTATATCTAATTTATATCTAAAATGGCTTTAAAAATAGTACATACACTTGCACATACTTCTTTTTTTTTCAGCCCAGTTGATGTCTGTGCATACTACACAACAAGTGTGTTCTTCAGGAAGCAGTTAAAGGAACATTTAGATTATGCCGCATAATAATTAAGATCAAACATATTTCTGTTAAAGAAAATCATATAATTCTTTTACTTTCAGGTGTATTTTGAAGATTCCCAATTATCTGTTGATTGTACATATTTTAACACAGAATTTTCAAGAAACAAATAAACAAACAAACAAAAAATGATTGGAGATCCATTTAATTTCCTGGGGACCCACTCAAATCACTAGCCATGGGTTTTGGGGACTCACTACATTGAAAAGCTATCAACTTAACTGTTTTCAAGTACTAGATAGAAACTGACCCAAATGGGCCCATGTGGAGGAAGAGACACAAGACCTTGTGTGACAAAACAAAACTGCACCTGAGAAACACTAGTAAATGAAAGTGATACGGAAGATATACATATACAATGGATTTCCCCCGGGCTCATATTCAATGCAGGGCAGCACCAGAACAGTAGCTGTACTGGTGCAGGGAGGTGCCTATAGGTCCAAAACTCAAATACAGTACCAGGGTTTCCCCTACATGCAATTGATAGCAGCGCACCGTGATGGCTAAATAAAAGCTGCCACATCTTTTAAGAAAATGTGTTTTTATTTCACATAGTGCTACCTCGGACTCATATGTATCAGCAGTGTTTCCCCTACATTCATTCAGCAGCGGCTGCTAAATTACATGTGCCATTACTGAAATTTCACATGATCATTAAAATCAATGCGCCACTAATGATTCTGCTCGCACTGTGTGAGCACAACACACAACGTTATTTTCGACTTGTTGTGAGTCATCAAGGAGCACATCAAATCCTGTCGGACCCTCTTCTATCAACGTGAGAGGTAACGTTCAAGCTTATACACGGCCTATATAGCGAGTAGCATCAATAGCATTAGTAGCATTATTATCAATGCGGCACTCATGATTTCTACTCGCACTGTGTGAGCACAACACGACGTTGTTTTAGACTTGTTTTGAGTCATCACAGCACATCAAATCCCGCCGGACCCTTTTCCACTAATCTAAATGGTAATGTTTAGGGTTATACACGGTCTGTATCGCAAGTAGCGCAGTTAATGTAATGTGAATGTAACAGCGTAGCTCCTGGAGTGGCAAGAGAGAGAGACACACATACACACACGCACACTCCGCCACAGCTGAAAAAAAATTCTAGGGGAAACACCGAGCACATCTGTCAGGATTGCTTTAATAAGTGATACATTTTACACTTATCATCTTGTCTGTATCATGGAAATATGATTCTTGAATTTTTTTTATTGTTTTATTTAATTTTCTGAACAACCTGAATGATGCTACATGTGTGCTGCATTGTATGACGCGGTAGTAGCTGGAGCTTGGACCTTATCTGTTTTCGACTACCTTTTACCTTTTGAGGATAGCAAAGTTCACCTTCCCAAACATTTGTCAATTTTTAAGTTCAGTCAGAGGCTGGCTATACTTCGAGTGTTATCAATTTTAATATTTCTGTTGATTAAATGCCAATTGTACCTCACTGGTCTGTTTTCTTTTTCTTTCAGGACAGTGCTTTTTGAAAAGGCAAACCATGTTGTTTGTACTTGCCAGTATCAGGCAAACAGAATCACAAATGAACATGAAAAGAAAAGTGACTCAAATTGAGAAAGTGATCCTAAAAATAAATGTTATATGATATCTTTGCCATATCTCCCACCTCCACACATTCCCACCATCTGAAGCACTCAGTGAGGAACTCGGTTTAGTTTTAGTACACGGTTTAAAAAGCCCTAATGAGCTCCAACAGGCACTGTTCTAAACTGTAAAAATGACATCTGTAAATGTCTGATGTGCGTCCTCTTTGTTGAGGTATACAGATTTAAAACAGTGTTGGTCAAACCCGCTGACCTGCTGTAAAATCCAATCTCAATCTGACATTATGTTGTGGTCACAGTCGGCCTTTGCTCTCTTGGAACAGAAGGAAAATTTTGCCCTCAACATGAATTTCCACATGACTGATATCTAAAGGAAAGCCCAGACAGATTCTAGGTGATAAAGCTGGCTATATCTCATAATAGGTTAAAGAAAATGGTTGAAATCTTTGGAGAGTTTTGGTTTCTACACATCTGTAAGCAGAGGACTTTGGTGTGAGTAGGAGCGAGGCTGCGGCGAGCTGAATCAATACTGAGCATGTGACATCCTGCCCTATAAAGCTGCACCAGGGTGAGAGGGGGTGAATTGAATATTGCAGGAACTTTAATCTACATGTTGATAAATGTGTGTGTGTATGACCCAATTAGCCTGTGCAGGCTGTTACCACCACAGACGGTTCAAGCTAGGACGCTAGATGGCTCTGAAAATGCGACCAGCCAGTGCCACTTCACAGGGCTGTTGCACTTACAATGGATGGTTGGTAATAAAACACATTGTACTGCTTTACCTTACTGACACAGCTCACTCTTACGGCTGGCTGCTGAGTTGTGAAACATGCTGATGGCTGGTAGCAGCTGTTCCACCTGAACTGAGTGAGGGTTAAAAGTTGGGATGCACTGAAATGAAAATTCTTGGCCGAAACCGAAAATGAGGAGACAAAGGCAGAAAACCGAAAAAACCCAGAATTATGCAAATTACTAGAACCATTGTATTTGTGGTTATGACTGTGTAATAACCTCACTAAAATCAAGGCATTGTAATAGTATAAATTAAGATTGAATTAGCATTAATATTACATGTATTACATATTACATTACATTACATGTGTTGTTTACACATTTAAATGGCACCCTCGAATCAGGGGTGAAAACAACTCAAAAGTTTACGAGAAGAAGTGTTGTGAGCGGTAGAGACATGGCTAGCGACACTTTGTATTCTTTCAAGCAGCCAAGAGCAGGAGCTGAGCATGAATTTGCATTGCAATGTTGATTTCTATCATTTTTATAAGTGTATGAATAAACATGAAAGGAAATTTCCCTGAGCGTCCACTTATGTATTTGGATGCATCATCCACCACAGACGGAGTGGGCGTGCTCGGAGAGCTTTTCCTGTTCGATGCCATGTTCTACTCATTAGTGGTGGGCGATATAGCTCGATATCACGTTATGTCAAGGCCATTTGGGATAACGCTATTTATGACGATATGGGAAAAAATTACAGGACATATTAGTGATTGCTGCTTCTGAACACCATTTTTAATATAGGTGTTAAATAAGGGGTTCAATTATGAAAATAAGTTCAGATTTGCCATACATAAACAGGACAGTAGTTGATAACCACCTTCCCCCCCCCAAAAAAAAAAATCCCATGTTTAGTTTTTTGTTTTTTTTAATATGTCCTCAAACGTAAAAGTTTGATAACATTGACAACATTAGCCCCATTGTCTGTCAATACACACACCTGTTTGTTCTCTTGCCTATGTAATGGACCGTAGGGCTGATAAAGGGTTCGGAGGTTTGGCTTAACCACCTCAGTTGTACAGGCAAGTTTTGTTATGAAGTGTTTAAAGCTCTCCTTTCCGACAGTCTGACTTGGCTTCATGTCAACCGAAAATGCACTTGTTGGCCATTTTCTGCAGAAAATTTTCAGCCGAAGAATTTTTGGTGCATCCAGAGTTCAAAGCTTGAGACAGGCATTGCTAGCTGACCCTGTAGTCATGGGCTAAACAGATATTCTATTGAGCCAAAAAGGTTAAGACTCCCACAGGCTGTGACTTATTGTGCTACTGCCAGGATGCTGAAGCTAGCACTACTCTGGTCAAATTACAATCACCCACTCCTGCTGATAGTGTTCTACCTGTTTGCAAGGCTGGCAAACAACATCTATAGGTTAGTTACTGTTTGTGGCTGTTTCAACAGAATAGCGAGAACTGACGGTGCTAATTAGCTGCTAGCGTTAGCCATTGCCTCGCCTTAGCCACTGCTCGATGTTTCCTGGCCTCTGTGGATCCCTCTGCACTCAGCCTGTGCTTAGTGTAGCTGGTCAGCAAAATGCTGGAGCAGCATTTGGCCCGAGAATAGAGGAGTGCATGGTGGGAGAGGGTGAGTGAGAGGGAGAGAGCGATAGAGAAAGAGAGGGAGAGAGAGAGAGGAGGCCCGTGGAAGCAGATCGATGTGGCCTGTATTCATTAACCCTCGCTCACGGCTCCCTTCCCTCCCCAATCACAACCCCGCCATTTTAGGACAGCAGGAGGTGATTTATTAGCTGTCCTGGCTCAGTCAGCACCATCGACCCACAGTCTGAGGAGAGTTGACTCACACCAGGATATACCGATTGCCTCACTGTGGGCTGAACTCACTCAGTGATCCAACACCATTCGAAGAAAAATCTTGCCGGAAGAAGCAGGGTCATCACTGCTTATTTATTTATGCTTTTAAAGTTAGTCAGAGGGAAGAGGAGGAGGCTACAGGCCAAATGAAGGTTGTATGTTTGTTATCACAAGGACGTCCTATGTTTCCTTCCAGTGAGATCGACAAAAATGCAACCTGAGGTCAGCGTGAAGGCTGGAGAAAGTAATTTTAAGATTCACCTGTTGTCACCTGCTGTCAAAGACACAGATTGCAAATGAGGACGTGTGTAAGGAGACTGCAGCTCGGTTATGCAACAGGCCAGTTTTTTTAGCACTGCTGACAGAAGCTCATACAGTTTTACATGCACAGCGAGGAAGAGGGATTATACCTGTTCAACTTTCTGTTAAATCTTGAAAACGTTATTTAATGACTTGAAAATATATGCGTGACAGTTTGGTTGATCACTATAAATGTTGATTTTTAAAGATAAAGACCCGTCACAAGCGGAAACACTGAACATAATTTTCTTTTCATAAGGTGTCTTGAAAGGTAAGAATATAACTTAATCACCGCTTAGAGGTGGCTTCTTTGGGGATCATAACACATCATTTCCATTTGAAAAGATTTAAATTAGACTTGAATTAAGAAGCGAAGAAGTGTTTATCTGAACATTTATTTGCCTGCCAAATTTCTGTGCCTCCCCTGCAACAAAACCTAAGCTGTTAGGTCTAAGAATAATCCATTAAATATCCTCATAATCTCAGTCAAATAATGCAGCAGAACTGAACTTGCATTGAATGTGATGTTCTTTGAATCATAAGTGATTACAGATTAACTTGTTTTTAAACTGCAGGAGGGTTTTTTTTTTTTATTATTTACATTTTTCTTGTCCTACCTTTCTTTTTCCCCCACAAAAAATACACAGGGTTTTAAAGATCAATTCTTAAATCTGGTCTCATTCATATTCCATGACTACACACACATCTGCTGCAACTGTATCCTCTTAATCTGGAGAGTTTGTTTGAGTTAATTTCAGCAGTAGGAGCTGTCAACAGAGCGCTTGTAGATCACTAAGAGGTTGGATTGTCTGTAAGGTCTTCCTTCATGTATAAATGAACTCAGTGAAAATCAATAACACAGTTAAACTGTTTCATTTCTCAAACGTCTATTTTCTGTTTTCTATCAAATTTCCTTCCAACTTTTACATCACAGTGCCTATCCAATGTAGGAGTAGAGACACAAAGGGAGAAGAGAGTACAGATGAAGTTATGCATTACTTCAAAAACTCTCCTGATATTTGTAATGGACTAACTTCCAAATAATCAATCATCTCTGATGATGTTTTAAATTATGTCTAATATGCATCACCAGGCCCATGACGGTGACTTCTAATCCGACTCACAGTCTTCTAGGTGGGAGTCTAGGTTTTGATTTCTTATTCTTTTACAAGCACTGCAAGCGTAGAAACTGAAAACATAATGAGCATAATGAGTACCTGGACAAACAGAGACACATTGTCTTTAAATCCATCTGAATTAATTAAGCATTAGCTAAGGTATCTGTGGTAACTGAGGTGTCTGACACACAAACTGTGTGCGCAGTGTTTAGTCCTCTGTGTCTTCAAGTGAGGGTCTGCATTAAAGTGTTACCAGGCAGACTTCCATTTTAAATATGAAACAAAGTGATGATCTGTTTCAAGTTATAAGACTGGCAACGCACATCCTACAATTAGACATGTACACATCCCTATTGCAATGGTCAAACAATATATTGTTCAAACCTGACCTATGGATATTGTCGGTATGTAATGCACTCATGATTAAATGTTGAAAAATGTACAATACACTTTTCTTAGGAAATGTTGAAATGTTTTGTCTTTATAGTTAAAAATGGAGAAAATAACTGGTTATTAAGTGGTTACAGAAAACTTGGACAGTTCTGATGGACAGAGACTTGAGTGAAAGTTGGACAAAAATAGTTTGGCACTGCATGCTGGTGCATCTGTTAATTAGAGTCCATGTTGTGTTTCCATGTTGTTTAGCTAATCCTACTTCTTGACTCTAACAGCTGACCACGTTGTTTTATAAATCCATCATCCAGAAGTCACATCTTGTTTGACAAACAGCCCTTAATAGAAACAATGCAGTTCAATGGATTTCATTGATTTCTCCCAACTGAGAACACAGTAGGTATTCAGTGGGTCGGACACAAATGGCGAGCGAACGGGTCATATTCTAATCCTGTGCTGCTCACAATGGGAATCTTCGAAATAGACACACACGGACAGAAAACACCACTTATTGAATTCTTGTGGAAGAACAATTGCTGTCTATCAGTGAAGAAGAATAGTGTTCATATTGTTCTGTTGATTCTGCTTGCTGTGCTTACTTCTATATCAATACACACGTGTTAAATCCTTTCAATAAATACTACCTATAACAGGGGCTATAATACTGTTTTATTCGTTTGTTTAAGAACAGTATCAGGTAGTGTTAAGGATGTGAGCAGCGCTGATAACAGTGATTATTACAGTAAACACTATTAATCAGAGCTGCTCCCTCCTGTGGAAAAATAAATAAATAAAGCCCCTCAGGAAATTAGCCCTCAACAGGTTGTGGTATTTATCTATTTTTGTTTTCACAACTGGATGCTCAAACCCAATTAATTATATTTGTGTATTCCATTAGTGCTATGATTGATTTGGTGAGGTTGAAATAAAAAGGTGCCCCTTCTTGCTTCCTGGCTGCAGAACGCACAATAATGGACAGGGCTCTTGTTGTCTGCAGAGTGGTGACCTTCATTACACACCGTTTAAGTTTGGCGCACTGTTTTTGGAGCCACAGCTTGGCTATAGTTACCACACACAATTTAGTTCTTGGTTTGGGGTTCATTTTTATTTAAAAAAATTGATTAAAATCAAGTAGAAATAAAACATTTAAATATTTTAAACAAATGCAGAGAACACCATTAAGATTTCTTTATACTAGAACAAAAAGCGTCTGATTTTGTAAAATGAAACAGAAAAAAATTAAAAAGATTTGGTGAATAAACAGCAGATTGATGACCTACTTACAAAAAAGTGTCAGAGAAAATGAGTACAAAATTGTGAAGAAACCGAAAAACAAAGGTGCCTTTTTTTAATAAATAAAGTGGAATAGACATGAAGAATTAAATGTAATCCTTTGTGTCCTATACAAAATGATAGAAACCATACAGTAGCATGGATCCGTAAGGTTCTGGACAAGATTTGTGGGCCTTGCCCTAAAATTTCAGTGCAATTTTTCCAATAAATAAACCTAATCACTGAAGGAACTTGTTCAGGAATACCCAAGTGCATTAATAGCTATAAAAATGGGCTGGGAAAGACCTCAAATAACACATAGGAAGAAGGGATTTTTTGCTTATTTGGGTTAATTTAGGGTGAACATTAATTCACAGCTTAAACGCTCAAAAGTAAAGCACCTTAACATAAGCTCTCAACCCTATAACAAGAGCTCTAGCTCTATTGAGAACTGGGAATGGGTGAAACACAGTAATGTTCTTCTGTTAAAATACTTACACTGATATTTAGAGAGTGACGTTATCCTCTCCTGTTCTATTTTCAAAATAAAAATGACCACATTAAAAAAAGGGCACATTTTGGCCAGCTCCTCCATGTGACACACAAATCTCACCGAGCTGGATGTGAGAAGGCAGTGTGTTGGATGGACTCCCTCACCTCTCATATGCAAATAACTTTCCCCCATGCAGCTCTGTGATTGGCTTGCTGTTATTAATATTCTGCCAGCGTGTGACTTGGTTAGCCTGGAGTTACTGTGCCAACAGGCAGCACTAAAAAGGGACTTTGTCAATGTTTGATGTCTCGTGAAGTGATGCAGTGTGTGTGTGTGTGTGTGTGTGTGTGTGTGTGTGTGTGTGTGTGTGTGTGTGTGTGTGTGTGTGTGTGTGTGTGTGTGTGTGTGTGTGTGTGTGTGTGTCACTGTTTTCTAAGAAGATTCAGATTTGGACGGTGGGAGACACTACCACCCGCTGACATCAGATTGCAGAGGAAGTGACTATCCGCTCCTGAATATTATTGTATTAAATTTCTCTGTTTGTGCAGAATCTGTGGACCGGCAAGGCACACAGCGGGCAGCATCCCGCGTCAAGAGACACCGGGTTTACAGACAGGTTTGGCCTGTGGACTCTGTTGAAGCTAAATCTTAACCTATTCCTTTTAATCCATTGAAGTCTGGACCTGAGCCAAGCATGTCTGCGCGTGTAAACAACAAACATCTTAAGTTGAATCATACATGCCAAACTAAACCACGTACACAGATGTGATGCGAAGTCTAAACTAGCTGTGACATATTTGCCCATGGCCAGTCTTCAGTCACCCGTTGTCACACTAAGTCACTCTGTCACTGCCGTATTTCAACAATGACAGCATGAGCAGTGTGTTCTCAACACAGATCATAGGGTTTGTCATGACAAGTGTGGATGGGCCTGTCTACTGTGTGCGTATGGGGTGTGTGTCTGTGTGTGTGTGGTGGTGGGAGGGTAGTGTACAGTAAATCCCTTAAACTGGGGCTTGTGACCCTCAGTAATACATTTCCTTGGGCAGAGCACTCCTGTATTTCCCCCCAGGTGCCTCAGAGTTTTGTGGGGAGAAAAGTGTAGAGCAGCATTTTCTAAATTGAAGTCAATACCAATCGGCCATTTATCTACAAGCACCCTGACGCTAAGGGCATCTAAAAGCGTGTGTACACAAGCACACACACACACACACACACACACACACACACACACACACACACACACACACACACACACACACACACACACACACACACACACACACACACACACACACACACACACACACAAACAACGCTCTCCCAG